ATATTAACCCATTCGCTCCTAGAGATTTTGCCGAAAAACGTGTTTTAAAGCTAGTCGTTCTAGTCCACTTGCTGGGCATTTAGTATGCTTCGTTTTGGTGGGAAGAGTTTTTAGGAAAGCTTTTAGGATCTTAAGATTAGGTGACAGGAAAGGTAGGTGAGCAATGGAACAAGATTTTCATGGAGATTTTCAGGTCGATGTCACATGGTTTTGTTCTTCTTTCTCCGGTGTCCTTGACTGAATTGTGCTCATTCTGGTATGGTTTAAAAGATCTCTTCACTCTACACAAGTAAGTAGACAGAGTTGACCTTGACCGTTAAAAATGATGACGTCACAAAGGGTAGAAAGGACGTGGATCCGCACGGGCGGTTACGGGCCGTTCAGGGGCGAATGGGTTAATCAAAAAACCTAAAAATGACCTTTTACCAACTTTTTCACCTGATTTTACGTGAAATAGACAGATTTGGTTGTTTTATGCTGAAAAGTGGATTTTTTAAAAAAAGCTTGGTACTTTGCTTAAATAGATCAGTAATTTATGTAAACCAGTAATAATAATTGGAAATCAGGGGAGAGCATTCAATTGGATGGGAGGTGCTGGCCGGGTAGTGAGTGCCAGTAGTAACAGGTGCAATACTTGATGAGCTTGTAAGATTGAAAAATCAAACTCAAACATAATAAGCTTATCTCTACTTAAAATGTGGTAAGTGTGCTTTCGTCTCACATCTTCCATAAAACACAATTATAAACATTCTAGATAAAGAATTTCATGCTGACTGCTTTACACAAATAATACAATTGGTGTGTATTTTGGGTTTTCATTCTGGATGTTTACAAAGTTTCAAAAATTGTGCCTTCTTTCAAAATTGGGTAGCGAAGAGCAAGACCTCCACTTGAACCTGTACAAATACACAAAAACAGTACAAACCTTCTTGGTACATCCACCCTCAATAATCAGTATTGTGTTAACTCGTTTCAACAGACTCAGCTCATGCCATCTTTTGTTCATAAGAAGCGAGTAGAGAAAGCAGAACTTGACACGCACATCAAGCTCGGTGTTTTCCATTCCTAAGTTCTTTCCAGACACGGCATTCATGATCTCTATGAAAAAAGGCACATTACTTTTCATTTCTGTCCAAACGCGATCAAAATCAAATTCCTTCAAAGTCTCGAAGCTGTTCCTGTTGCTATATAAAACCGAGCCATCGGAGCGTCTGCATAACGTTTGACAAGCTGCGGCTATTTCATCTTCGATGGCCAATTTTAGGACTGCAATCACACTTGGGCAACGTTGCTCTATGACAACGGCAATGACGGCTGGTTGTGTGTTTGCTACCCGAATGAATTCTTCAGTGCCACCATCGATGAGTTTGGAAGCGTCGAGCAGCGAAGGTGTTTCATCCTGAAGAACAGATGCTAGAGGCAAAAACGTTGGATTAGCCTCTTTCATGGGTTCTCGTTGTATGGCTTGAGCTGGAGCCTCTCCGAAGTTGAGTTGCTTGGGGTAGCTTTCCGCGAAACGACGGANACTTTTCATTTCTGTCCAAACGCGATCAAAATCAAATTCCTTCAAAGTCTCGAAGCTGTTCCTGTTGCTATATAAAACCGAGCCATCGGAGCGTCTGCATAACGTTTGACAAGCTGCGGCTATTTCATCTTCGATGGCCAATTTTAGGACTGCAATCACACTTGGGCAACGTTGCTCTATGACAACGGCAATGACGGCTGGTTGTGTGTTTGCTACCCGAATGAATTCTTCAGTGCCACCATCGATGAGTTTGGAAGCGTCGAGCAGCGAAGGTGTTTCATCCTGAAGAACAGATGCTAGAGGCAAAAACGTTGGATTAGCCTCTTTCATGGGTTCTCGTTGTATGGCTTGAGCTGGAGCCTCTCCGAAGTTGAGTTGCTTGGGGTAGCTTTCCGCGAAACGACGGAGCTCGCTGGTTGAGCGCTTTGAAGGCGGCTTGCACGATGGGGAGACAAAGTAACAAAGTAACAAAGAGAACGACTAAGAAGCGTGATTTCTCACAATTTTCAGTTGAAAGATTTAATAGTGAAACAGAAGACAACTATATAGATAGTGACATAATCATGGCCAAACATATAAAATATTAACATACAACTCTTCTCTCTATATATACTTAGTACCTATCATCATAATTATTTCATTTTTTTTTTTTTGCGTTCTTTGATTAATTAGTTTTCCTTTTTTGACTGAATGTAGAACTATATTACTTATACGTTTCTCTCTTTAAATTCCTTTATAGGCAGACTTTTTCAATAATTGCATGATCTATAATAGCATCTTGCGTTGTTCAGACCACAATGTAGTTCATCATAATCAAATAAACCCAGCCCTTGCTTCTAAATTAAAATGTCCTATTTAACTGAATTGTGCGTAAATAATATTTTACTTTTAACCTAGAAGACTGTGAGCCGGGTACCATGTGCTTCCTTAAGTTTGCTTCGGACAGATTCACCAGCGTTTTTAGCAGACAACAAAAGAAAATCGATGGTGCTATTTACATGAAGTGCATCCACAAACAACTCAATACTTGACCCAAGGTCATTGAAACACAAATTCAACAATGTCAAAGTTGTGTTTACCTTTAGCATGGCAGCTAGTGATTCAGCACCAGAGGGTCCAATGTCATTGTAAGACAAATCCAACAGTGTCAGAGCCCTGTTTGTTTCAAGCGCAGTAGAAAGTGACCTCGCACCGGCAGAACCAACGTCATTGTAAGACAAATCCAAAAGTTTCAGAGTTGCGTTTGTTTCAAGTGCACCGGAAAGTGACTTAGCACCAGCCGGACCAAGATCATTGTGCGACAATTTCAAGTATTCCAGAGTTTTGTTTGTTTCAAGGGCGGTAACAAGTAAATCAGCATCAACTGGTCCGAGTTTGTTGGCGGTCAACACTAAATATGTCATAGTCGCGTTTGTTTTAAGGGCTACAGAAAGTGACTCAATACCAACAGGACCAATATTATTACCAGACAAATCCAAATTTGTCAGACTTGTGTTTGTTATTAGGGCGCTAGCAAAGGATTCAGCACCAGCAGGGCCAAGACAATTTCCAGACACAGTCAAATCTGTCAGTGTTGTGTTTGTTTTCAGTGCAGAAGCAAGATAATCAGCACCAGCAGGACCAAGGCCATTGTACGACAAATCCAAAATTGTAAGACTCGTGTTTCTTTCAAACGCTCTAGCAAGTGACTCAGCACCACTGGGGCCAAGTTCATTGTAAGACAAATTCAAATATGTCAGAGTTGCGTTAATTTCCAGCGCGGCAGCAAGTGATTCAGCAGCAGCAAGACGAAGATTATTGTAAGACAAATCTAAACCTGACAGAGTTGTGTTTGTTTCCAGCGCGGCACCAAAGACAACAGCAGTGGCATCGCCTATTTGTTGGTTTTTGAGATCAGCTTCTTTAACTTTCAGACATAACCCAAAAGTGCGTGCCAGTTCCAAGTGAGAATTAGAACTCCCCTTTTCACATTCTTTAATGCATTCCAGCGCAACAGGTAAGTAATATTCTATCAATTCCTCCTCCTCCATTGCGTTGACCTCATTCGTTATGCTGTTAATAAGGGATGCTACACTTTCTTCAGATCGCACTGCTAGCAGGCCAGAGGCAAATTGTAATACTTGCCTCAGTTCTACAAAATATCTCATGTCAGCAACTACTTCTTCAGGACTGATTTCCTTGCTGACAAGCTGGCAACAAAGGTAATGTCCTGCGAAGAACTCTTGGAAACTCTTATGCGTAAAGCCGTAACACAAACACGGTCTTCGCTTGCTGCTTCCTGGTTGAACTGACAGGAATCCGAATCCAGGTAAGTCGCTATATCCACTTCCAAGGCGTTTGTTATCGAAATACATGTTGTTTTCACGGAGACCGTTTAACGCTATCGAGCCAAGGTGTTTCAACTGATCTTCGTAGATTTCAATCGGGTCCTCATCGTCTACTGTTAGACCTTTCTTTTTCCTGTATCTTCTTAAAACACATTGTACTATTTCTGAGTACAACTGAGTTATTCTTTCAGGTAAAATTCCATCAAAATCTTCACAAAGAAGGCAAAGAAGTGCAGTATGTAAAGGGTTTGCTATCATATGTTGGAGGCTTGTGTCTTCTAAAAGTCTGTGAAAGAGCGCTTCGACAAGCTCTTCCTTTCCACTAAAGAATTTCAGTATGAATTGTATGGCATCTCCTGGAGTAAATCCTTTAATCTCCAGCAGCGTATCACAGACGTTTCTCACAGGTATCCCAGCCTCCTGCCGAGCTGTAACCACAAGGTGACATAGGGGAAGCATTTTTCCTTGTATGATTTCGGTAAACTCCGGCAGTCTGCCTGTAGGTAACTCATCCAATCCGTCAAGTATCAGAAGAATCTTTGATTGATTTTGGCGAATGAACTCAAATAATGTATCTCTTTCTTCTTTTTGGACTTCACGAGGCAAAAGCTGATCATCAATGGCTTCCCAAAGGTCAGAATTGCGCCCAACATCCCGGCATTTCAGCATGAGCACCAATTCAAATTTCGGAAAGCAGCCTTCTGCGCTGTGTTTCTTTGTGGCCCAGTCGTAAGCAACCTTATTGCAGTATGTCGTCTTTCCCATTCCAGGATTTCCTTCAATCAACACTTTTTTTGGTTGTTTGCATTCTTCGTGGGGTTTGAAGATTTCAGCCATTTCGACAACACTTTCTATTCCCGTTCCTCTGGCTTTTTTTCCTCTGCTGACCATAAGAAGCCGTGTATAAATATCATTAAGATGAAACTGAAAGTCTTCGCACCAAGGAAAGGGCGCGAGCCATCCCTCCAGACGTTCGTACTTTTGGCGAATGCTTTCAATATGCTTATCTATCAAAACAACTGGGATACAATAAATAATAACAATAAATTACCGTAAAATTCCGAAAATAAGCCCCAGAGCTTTTTTGAGGGGCTCATTTTTGGAGGGGCTTATCTACTGACTAGGGAAATTTGCGTTTCAAAATCGATAGGGCTAGCCTAATAGTTGGAAGTAAATTTACCGTTTTTGCTTTGTTTTACATTGTATTTGAGGGCAATTTTTCAAGTACAAGTCCCCGAGGGGGACTTATATTTGGAGGGGCGATTTAACGGAGGGCTTTTTCCGTTACCGGTTTTGGGGGCTTATACATAGAGGAGCTTATCTTCGGAATTTTACAGTACTGTAACATTACTATTGTCCTTAAATAATAATTAAATTTTCAGTATTGAAATCATTTTATCCTAAATAGCGCTTCTCGCCTTATCCCTATCCAGGATAGCTTTCTATTATTTCCTTCTCTTTCCAATTATCTTTATTTTTAAGGAAAGGTTTCACCCAAACACCTAGTGGCGCAGAGAATGACCATCACTAGGTGCTACAAAGACCAAGCATGGACCAAGACAATTACTCCCCGAAAAATAAGGTAGGGGCCCGCAGTGTGTTTCTTGTAACTTTGTCTTCTTTTATACCAAAATACGCTATTTTTACCACCATATTTCAAACCTGACCCAAAATTCGATACCCCATTTCAGACCAGACAGTTGCAGCAATCAGACGCTTCGATTTGCGTCAAAATCATAGAAATGCTCCAAATTAATCAGAGCGGACATCTCAAGCAATGAATAAAAACAAAGAGTAGGCATTCATAACCGTTTCCAGACCAAACAACACCCTATCTCAACCCTACGGTTAAATGTATGTCCAATTTCAGACCAAACGGTTTTAAAAGCGACACCTGACCTTATGGTAACAGGATCAGAACCACTTGAAATTTTCGTTGAATTCAAATGGTTCTAAAGGCACTCTCACAATTTTTTAAACCTGGCAAAAGGTTGTATCAAACACGCTTATCACAATTCGACGACTAAACAATGTTGGTCACAGAACCTGTTTTTCACTCTTTAGCACTTACAGCTACAAGTAAGGGTGTTTAAACAGGTTCCAATGTTACCATGGTAACCTGTTATTTTTTTATCCTAAGACAATGACCGTCAGCACGGGATTGAGCATTTGTTTGACACGGGATTAGTACTCTCCCTACAAGAGCCTTCATAGGACAACTTTTTTACCGTTCGAGAATAACGAGGATTAAACTGGCCAGTACTATTTGTAACTAGCCTGTCTACGAGAAGATTGGTAGAGCTCAAAATGACCTTTGGATGCTTTTTTCCCTCTTTCTTTTCTATCCAACTTTCCCATGATCTTTTCCATTTCTTTTCTGATCTGCTCGAGATTGTCTTTCACTTCAGCTGAAAAAAAAAGAGAAAAAACTCAAACTTTTGTACTATGTAGTGAAGAGGACAACCCATGGCTTTTGCAACTCCGTTAACTGGCATGAAGAAGAGAATATAAGAGTCGGTGACTGTTAATATCGTGAACGCTGACAAGGATCAAGAAATATAAATTCTGATAATACCAGGAGCCTTTTACCCTGTTAATACTGATAAAAAACATTTTAAAGAAATACGTGCCAAAAAATATATATCATCTTTCCACAAATAAATAGTTTTCCAGAAAAGGAGACAAAACGAAAATACCGTGGTTTTTTTTGCCCTATATTGGTGATGCACAAAAATCACCGTAAAATTAACAAAGTTTGTTGTGCTTGTACTGAAGTAAAACGCACCGCTAGAAAACGAGGATACTTTCATTTAAAAGTCTACCTGGAGTTATGAAAACCGCGTTAGCAAACATTTTGTAATTTTTCTCAACTTCCGCTGTCTAATAGCTTCTTTACTATGTTGTTTGCTTATGTCGTTTTCTTTTGCTTGTTTTGTGGTTAGGGATTTGTGTAGAAGTGGAATTAGACAGAATTACTATCTTACCCCCCCCCCCCCCCCGTATTTTCCCTACCCACAATTCTTTCTTTTAAAACAGGTGACAGTTATTTGAAAACAGCCCGCGCCCAAAGCTGGTTTCGGGGCTGCTTAGCGCAGTTTTTTTTTAGATCGGAAAGACACACCTCCGAACCCCCGTCACACCCAGATCCCGTTTGCCGCCTTCTGCTCGCAAAAAAAAAACAAAAGCGTGCCCACAAACAACTACGTTATACAACTGTTTTTCAATTTTTTCAACCTCCGCTTTGTATAAGGTTTTCTATTGTGTTTTTTTTTTTTGTTTTTTTTTTTTTGTTTTTTTGTGGGTTGGGGTTTGGGTAGAAGTGGGAATAGACAGAATTTCTATTTTCCCCCCCCCCCCCCCTCCGTATTTTCCCTACCCACAATTCTTTCTTTTAACACAGGTGACAGTTATTTGAAATCAGCGCGCGCCCAAAGCTGGTTTCGGTGCTGCTTAGCGCAGTTTTGTTTTCTATATTGGTCACCTTGAGAAACGTTTCCCGGAGAGCATCATAAAAAGCTCTGAGATGGGACAAAGTTATTACGATTCGCAGAGTCTGCATAGTCCAATATCGTATTTCAGTATATACACAATCAGTGATCTTGGTGAATTAAGCAATCTGATTGGTTCGTTATCTCGGACTATTCAACAATATTCACCTCCTAGCGAGTGGATAATGTGTGAGCTCGGTTTTTTCCCCATTTTTATAGAGAAAGATCTTTTAAAAGTCGACAAAATCCTAGGGCTGACTTTTTTTTGTCAGGCAAGAGAAGACTTCGACGGATTCAAAACGGCGTTTTTCCATTTACTGTAGTTGAGTTTTGTGGTCGATGGATTGTTTACAACTCCCGTTTATTCGCCCAGAAGAAGCCGTTTCGTGAGCTCAGCGTATCCTAAAAAGAAAAATTTGGCTCAAAAACGAAGTTTATTTAAGACAAACAAATTTGAAAGCAAAAGTTTGCAGAAATTGTACGTTTCAAGTATATAGGAGAAAGAATGCTACATGAAGACGAAGTCTTACCTCGAGGAACCGAATCGCCATTTTTTTCTGCACTTCATGCGAAGAACGACACAACAAACATTTTCGGCTGTAAACTTGGCGAGTCAACAGAAAACAACAAAGCTCTTCTTTTCTTCTCAGGTAAGGAAACAATTCAAACTTTTAGCGGTTCCATTTAAGTCATTACGCTGTTGTTTGCGAAGTGATAAGCTTGTGAATTGCCATGTTTGAAAATTTNAAACTTGGCGAGTCAACAGAAAACAACAAAGCTCTTCTTTTCTTCTCAGGTAAGGAAACAATTCAAACTTTTAGCGGTTCCATTTAAGTCATTACGCTGTTGTTTGCGAAGTGATAAGCTTGTGAATTGCCATGTTTGAAAATTTTACAAAGATCTATTTTTAAACTTTCGCGTGTCTAGCTCACCTGATCTGTCAATCAAATCGTACTTTTTAATGGTTTCCTCTCTGATTTTGCTGAGATCACTTCGTGTGATTATACTAAAACAATTATTCTTTTCAATCTCCGTGAATAGTGGCTTTAGAAATATTTACCTCGCCACTTCGTGACTCGGTAAATATGTAGCCACTATTCACCTCGATTTCAAAGAATAATTGTTAAATATTCTCTTTCCATTTGGCTAAACGGATCAATCACCCTGATCCGGGCTGAGACAGAAAGGTACGATATTGTTCACTTTTCTAAGATGACCACTAAGCCTTTGGCTTCGGGAATAGGCTCTTAGCAGTCAAATGAATTAGGTGAGAGCAAACTCGCAAGTAAACTTTGACCCAGGCCAAGGCTACATCCGGGAACTTGAATAAGACGAGTGCAAGAGAAAAATACAGAGGTGTTTATCTGGCAATAGGCTGAGTTTTTGCGAGTTATTCGATGATATTTCGCTTATGTTAAACGTGACAAGATTGTGCGTGGTTGTGGATAGTCTTATCAGTGCCGCGAAAGTGTGTGATTGTGTGATTTCCGCATGGTGTTGACAGGTACGGGATGGCGTGGTTGAACTGCGGTTTCGCCAAAATTTTCTGTGCCAGCCATTTATATTTGTTCGTCGGTGTTTGTCTTAGCTGATTGTTCCTTGGAAAAGTAACTCTCGACTGAGGAAAATTGGATCTAGGTCTAGTTTCAGCGGGCTCTAATTGCATTGCACCAAAGGCCGGTTTTCGCAGATAAGAAGGTGATAATTTGTGCACTGTTTCATTCAGTTTGTTGTCTATTCCATGCGGAATTCTGTTGTTTATCGGACCGCGAAAAAAGTAGTGTTTTGCTAACTATTCCCAGTGCTCGCTCGGGTAACACTGGCCTTAATCCTGACGAATTAGTAGCGAGAGATCTATTTCAGGGGTGTGTGGGCGTTTCTCCCTCGGGAGTGGCTTTCTCTACATAAATAAACACGTGTGTAAGCAAATTTGTCCAGTTTGGCTGCAAAGATGAAAGGATTGTTTTTCCTGCTGTTCCGTATCTTTGCCGATGAACAACCTCTTCTGCCGGTCGTGGTTTTGTCTGCTTACATCTTCGGAACGCCACCTGCAGCTGTTCCTTCTCAGGCTGTCTAACAACGCTGTTGTTTCCGGATGTTGTTGCTTCTCCGCACAAGTGAAATTAATTTCTTGCAATTGTCCCTCTAGTTTGCTTCCACCACGTTTACTCGTCTCTTCTGTTGCCTTAGTAGTTTTCCCATGTCGATTATTATTATTATTATTATTATTATTATTATTATTTTATTTATTTATTTTTTACACGGTTGTGGCCGAGAGGAATTGTCTTCTGCTGGATTCATGTTTGGATAAATTTTATACAGTGCTCAAGTTTGGTTGCTTTGTTTTGTCCGGGTTGTTCCCTATTTGTGGTGTTTTTCAATTTTGGACTTCCGAGCTTTCGTCTAGAATTTGTGATCTTTTCATTCGTCATTCACTATGGACAACTCTCGCCTTGGCTGGTTTCAGTTCTAGGCTTAGACCGGTGTTTCCAGTCGGACAGCCTCCTCTACTTGGTTTTTAGTTTGTACTCTTACTGGTCCTTTGTTTTTCATCCGTCGGTGGACGTGTGCCATGTGCGTTTCGCCCTGTGTACATAGGGTTAAAGTAGGACTGGGAAGAAGAAGAAATGGAAGGGATAAGACTGGCTGGTTTGTTCGCGTATGGTTACCCATCCAGTTCCTAACCCCGTATAACATGGCTTAATCTAGGTGGCCTTAGCTAGGCTTACTGGATCTGATATGTTCTTTTTATTTGCCACGCGGTTCTTCGTCTGCCAAACAAAACAGTCGGAAAGGGGGAGCGGGACCGCCTGATCGCAGATTATTTCGTTATCAGCTAGTCGGTGTCAGCTTAGTTTGCCAATTTTTTTCTTTTCTTAATTTCCTTAAGTTTTATCAGTGTTGTGTGTCCTTTTACTTACCGCTCGGATTATTTATGTACCCCCTACTTTCGGGATGTTTTCATACCTTATATTTAAACGCAATTGCATGATAGGCGTAGAGCCGTCATAATGTCTGTTTAAACTGTTGTCAACACGTGGAATCAAAAAACCTTTTTTACTTCATTTTGATCACGAGATGTCGTCTTGTTGCCATTAAAGAAGTTCTGTTATTTTTTCTCTTGTTTCCTGTTTCTCGAAGTTGTTAGTCCCCCCTTGCGTACCAGTATTGCCGTGCCTTGGGTGCGGGTGTCTAATGCCTTTTATGCCTCTTTCAGGTTGCTAAGGCCGGCAATTCTGGTGGGCTTCCCTCGCTCTCCCTCTTAGTTTTCCCCTATTTCATGTCCGTGAATCATCTGTTTGGACACTTTTTGGGGCCTTTCTTGCAATTTACTGGTCATGCCTACTAGCGCAAGTGGGGGAGGGCAAGCCCACCAATTTTGTCGGCCTTGCTCCCTCGCCTGGTCGAGCCGAATTGCATGCTCATTCAGCTGTATATCTGTCGTCAGGTACCCGTCTTCCTTTTATTTGCATCCAGAGAACTTACCAACAGTTTAGCTCAATGGGAGGTCATTTCGGAAAAAGTTCTTCCCCATGAAGAGCCTGAGTGTTTAATACGAGATTAAGTCCGTGAAGATTTCCTTTCAAGGTAGATTCGAGGGGGAATGTACCTTACACCGATTCCCCCTGATCGGAGTTTGAGGAATTTGCTTCCGCTATTATACTACAACATGAGGAATTTCTGCAATTTGACTGGCTTTGAGCAGTGGTATTTCAGCTTGATTAGAAATACCTTCATGCGAAAGTTACAAACCTTTGGCGGGTAGTAGTATACTGTAAACAAATAATTATACATTGCGTAAATGGCTTGTGTGCAGTTTAAGGCAAGGTTTGAGAGGCGAAACCTCCTTATCTCGTCATGCTCATAACCGTTGAGCCTTTAGAATCGCAATTGCGCCACGACAGACGCTTTCTAATTTGTGAATCGAGGATATTTCGTGTATTACACCCTCCCCCTCGGATGGGAGGCTAGTGCCTATGCGTATCACACAACTGGTTTATTGGCCACTAGTTACATTATAATTCTTGGAGTTCACCCTATTCCTGATACAGTGATTGTCGTGCAGGCCAGGTTATGGTGCACAAGGCGCTAAACCCTCTAGAAAGTCGTCTTTCGCCCCTCCTTGTGCGTCGGTTGGTTGGTCTACCTTTCTAGCTGTACTCCCTTTCATTAGCGTTCGTCCTTGCGGGAGACTAGAAGCTCAAGATGAAGGGCTTAAGAGCGTCATTCATTCTGACTTAGGATACTGTGGATCTCGGAAGCTTGCAACGGCTCGCAGGCGAAACCACCTCGTTAAGCTTCCCGTAGGTCCATTAATGTTTCTGCTGTCCATCTCAGGGGTATTCTATATTAGAAATTTGTGGATATCTGGCAAGGTGTCCGCCTGCTTGAGGGGCATGTAATTAGAACTAACGGTCGTTTTTGTGATGTGTTGAATTCGGGATGGGGTGGTGTGATTCCCTGTTGATTGTGGAAATTCCATTGAAGTGCGTGTCAGTACTGGTCTGAGCGCCCCCACTTGCGAGCCTCTTGGCTAGTGTTAAGTCGTATCAGGCCTAGATACCAAGTTGATACCTATCTACGTGTACAGTCTACTGTTAGTTCGCACGTGGAAAAATCAAGGTGCGGGCAGCAGAGGAAAACTCTTTCCGTCGTCATCTAGTCATCTACCTTGCGAACTTTTTTTCGCGCTGTCCTTGGTGTATATTCCCTCAGGAGGTGATCTTATGGACGCCCCGCGGGGCTCTCTCCGCCAGTACTTGCATGCTGTTCCTTCGTGTTTAGAGTGACACCCTTTTTGCCGCTTGGACTTTTCTCACCTGGTCTACCAAAGAGTCCGCGATAGTTAATGTTTTTTCCTCAGACTTTCTATCCTTAAGACCTCGCTCAGTAAGTCTTTCCACCTTTGACTTTAGCTGGGATAGTGCTTCGGTTCCTTGCCTCCCAACCCTGTCCTTTTAATACCTCCTTACCCCCGTCGTTACCGGTGGCTTGTTATCTCGGGTGCGCTATTGATTTTTCTGTTGATTTTGTTCTGCTTTGTTGTGTAACAAATGTTCGTGTGCAGAACTACGACTGTTTTCTTTTCGCCAAATGTGTTAGCAAAACGTTTTCTTACTGATAACTCGGGTCACACTTTCCTCATAGATACCAGAATAATGGAGCCTCTGTCAGCAGAAAAAAACCTGGAAAAACACAACTTGACTGGAGGCTTAGAATTTAAATTTCCTGTCCTCTTTACGAGAGGACAAGAGTTTATCTTAGGCCTCACCAAAAGATGTTGTTAAATCTTTTTTATCAAAGTTGGCAAAGGCAAACAATACTGCGTAACAACTCATGTCAGTCCCTTGGTTGAGAATACGCAGACTTGTTCAGCTGTTACTGCTCTCGCACGGTAATTAGTCTGCTGGCACAGTGTTTTGAAATCCTGCGCCGCACTTGTTGGTCAAGCAGTAACTTAAATATTTATTACGTACAGTTACAGGCTAGAGGGCCTCTGTATATTATCGGGTCGAAACAATAGAAATAAGTCGTGTACCACTTAAGGTATAATCTGTTAGGTACCAGCTGTCTATGCCGAACGGTACTGAACATTAACACTCGAGAGCTTGGATTTTTCTCGCTTGGTTTTCTTCTGGTGACAGGGCTTTCGATCTTCCTATTATATAAACGCAGTTTAAGTGTTAGATGGCTCTTGCCTCCTGTTTCACAAATGCGCGGCTAAATGTTAAGAGAAATCTTGGAGTGAGGAATTTGCAGTCTATCGTCGACCTATGTAAATCAATGCAGCTGGACATTTCCTCTGGCTTTTTCAGTTTAACTTCCAGAATAACTTTATTTTCGATAGTCGAATCCTCGCTTGTACCGTGCGGGCGAGGCACGTTAAATATTTTTTAGTCCCCCTTGCAGTTCTCTGTGAGTGTTTTTGGGTCGGACACTCCGCCCTTCTCAGACTTAACGGGGTGTCTAAAGAAGGTCAAACGAAGCACATTCGTTAGAAATCTGCTGCGTTAGTCGAACACGCTCTGAATTTGCAAACCTCGAAAAACCCGGCCAACACTTCTTCCGATGCCTAATGGCTGGTAAATCTGTTCAAATTATTCGAGATGGTTCTTCTAACGCTTTTCTTGATGGCATCATTCTTGTAGTCATCAACTTAGAACCGAAACAGGTAGATGCGAAAAAATCCCTAGCAACGAAAGGATATGTTCCTTTTGTAACAGTAACAAAAGTGAAGATGAAAATCATTTCGTACTAGATTGTAAGGCCTACTCTAAGATCAGAGACGTATTTTTCTTCAAAAAACCTCAAATCTCTTTCACATGATACTTTAATAGCTCATCTAATGAATTCTTCTGATTATTTGATTAACTGTCAAGTAGTTATTATTTATCTCGCAATGATTTGAATTAAGAAGAAAATTGACTCATATCAATGAATAAATGAGATCTGTAATGTTTTGAAACGTTTTACATTAATTAGTTGAATTACTAATTAAATTTAGACTGTGGTAGCTTTTGCAATACTGTATTACATGTATGGTCCTGCAAATAAAGCTTTTGTTGCTGTGGCTGGCTTTAAGCCGACAATTTTGATGAGTGCTTGTGTTGTCGTTTTAGTTTCGGGATATGGGAGAGTTAGTTACGGGTGATGGGGTTGGAGAGGCCAGTGGAGACCTTTCGCTTCATCTAAGGCTGTCCTTCGCCTCCGAGCTAAGGACTCGCATGTCCCGTAACTCATCTCTTGAGTCCCAGGCCTATGTTATGCGAGCCTCCACTAGGAATAGATTACTATTCCCAGTGTACCCTCGCATAACAAAGGCCTGGGACTCAAGAGATGAGTTAAGGGACATGCGAGTCCGCAGGCGGGAAGGCGACCGGACTAGGCCAAGATAAGAGAAAAAATAGGGGGGGAGGGGGAGTTAAACAAACGAACCCCAAAGCAAAACAGGTGCAGACCCCCCCCCCCACCCCCACCCCACAAGGGGCTTCGACGGGCGCATGAATCCAATCCTTTCGCCCTTGCAGCCAAACTGGACAAATTTGCTTACACAAGTGTTCATTTATATAGAGAAAGCCACTCCCGAGGGAGAAACGCCCACACACTCCTGAAATAGATCTCTCGCTACTAATTCGTCAGAATTAAGGCCAGCGTTACGCGAGCGAGCACTGGGATTATTATTTAAGTTGTTATGTAAGCCATAACCAGGCACTCTTTCGCTGCAGCTCACTCAACTTAAAAATTTCTGGACTGAAATGACACCGGTTTGAAACTTCGCGAAGTCAGTTACTGAATAAATGTTCTAAAATTTGCGTCATTTTAAATTTGGACTCGTTGGAATGCTTATAGGGACCATTAACTTACTGCCCGGTGCCAGTTAAAGGCTTTTATTATTCATTGAAAATATTTCCCCAATTCTGATTGGCTAAAAGCACACGCATAATTCACCATAACCAGTTACTGACGACCAAATTTGGAAGAAGTTTGTGTTTAACGAGGAAATGACGTCAAAAATGCAGCCTTCTAAAGGTTAATGTACCGTTAAAGACGAAGACCTGGGGACGAGATTGAGTTGTCTTCGTTGTAAAAGCTGAAATGGCGGACACTTCACTCGTTTTAAAGGTCAAATGAACCAAAAAATTGAAATATTTTCTTTTGTCGCTTTACCTTCACCAAACACTAAAAAGAACCATCCTAAGTGAGATTTGGGTAAAGATTTTTCTTCCCAAGCCTTTATAGAAAGATAAAAGATCAAAATCCGAGCATTTCCGAAGACTTCACGAAAACGTTTCTGAAATGGCCGCGAGATAGACTGGAGACTACGTAACGTCAATGTTGGTCTTTCAGGGCGGAAAAACGTTCTGCGCAAGCTTCTGCGCATCCCTTATCGCCTGCGTTTGTTTGTCTCGTTCTGTGTGAGTTCTGACTGAGACTGAATGAAATACCCGAGTTGCGAACGTCTGCTCCTTGTAAAGGCTTTTTTGTCGTTGTTGTTGTTTTTTCTTCACCTGAAAATTACTTTGGATTCAGAACAATCAATGTTAGAGTAAAAACAGATCATTCCGTCAGTCTGAGGAGGAATAAAACGTTTTGAACATTTCCAAAGAGGTTTGTATTTTTCTGATAATTGTGCATTCGATTTGTGAATTGATTGTGTGTCCAGTGTTTCGCCTTCCATCGCCGGGCTGAATAAAAACCCGCCTGTATTCTGTTATTAGTAGTTACGGTTAGTTTTTTTACATGCCCAGATTTATTTACCTTTGCAGAACCAGCTTTATCCTTGGCTTTTTGTCAAAGAACCGTAATGCTAACGCTTACCACTTCTTCGGAACTATAGAAGGCTAGCAAGCTTATTCGAGAAGAACAGAGTACTTCGATCTCTTTTCTGTTGCTCAGGTAATAAGAGTCAGAGTTTTTTTTTCTTTTTTCATTTTTAATTTCGTAGTTTTGTTTTCTTTCTGTACGCAGATTTTCCTTTTCACTAGCTGCGAAGTAGCTGAGAACGACAACTGCCGGCAGTGACTTCAAAACAATTGACTCATTGCCCGTAAACAATTGCTGGAGCTGGATTTGACTGAACCGAGCAAAACAAACCCTTATGTGCAGTTTTCTTTACTTTCTAATTATTCAGTTTGCTGAGTTTAATTTGCTTGAATGAAGACCCTTGCATGGACCAGTTTTTAAAAATAGCTAAATGGTGAATCATGGCTTGGGTGCGAGCTTGCAACTGATCTTTTGCTTTTAAGATCTTTAGGTAGGCTATTTCGCACAGAAAATTCACTTCTTCATTGTCAGCGGGTATAAGAGCCTTAAGCCTTATGTTTTTTGAATGGAAATTTGTTGTTTTGCAACCTTATTGAAGCTTTTTTTAGTTCAGTTAAGCTAAATTTTATGCATGATGGAATTGTTCTTTGCTTGTCGCCTCTCTTTGCGAGCTTTAAGTGGCGTCTATGGTCNGATCTTTAGGTAGGCTATTTCGCACAGAAAATTCACTTCTTCATTGTCAGCGGGTATAAGAGCCTTAAGCCTTATGTTTTTTGAATGGAAATTTGTTGTTTTGCAACCTTATTGAAGCTTTTTTTAGTTCAGTTAAGCTAAATTTTATGCATGATGGAATTGTTCTTTGCTTGTCGCCTCTCTTTGCGAGCTTTAAGTGGCGTCTATGGTCCTTAAAGTGACCTCAGTCGGTAATTAAATCATATACATATATAACCGGAGAGAAGTTTTTGCAATAATGTAACTTCAACTTTGTTTGAAGGAAATCTTACTTGGTTTTTGACAGGTGTTATGCATGTTCAACTTGACAACACAAAGCAAACTTTGTCTGCGCGAAACGATCAAGTTTAAAAAACTGTAGTTGCTTTGAAACCGATTTTGGGGAAGATTTTACTAGATAAAGATTAACTCTTTTTCTGCCCACATATCAACGCCAAAACTTCTACATTGAGAGTATTCTTCGAGGAAATTAAATAAAGTTATAACCACAGCTTCCAACTTTTGAAGACAAATTTCTTGTTCTTTCTAGGTTTATGGCCACACAAACCACCACAATTTCTGCGCCAAGTCGACTCGAAAAACACTGTTTTGAATTTCCCGCTTTTTTTCACCTGACCAACATTGACGTCACAAGCTGTTTTTTCCCGATAATTTTTCCGACCGCTCTACGAAGGTAAGGGTCAAAAAACAACAATTTTTAATTGCGAATATCTCGGAGATGATTGCTTCAATTGAGCTGAAACTTCATACTATGTTTATTCAGTTCATATTAAAGATATTTCACTAGAATTGAACTAAAATAAAAAATGTCGAATTTTTGGTTCATTTGACCTTTAAGAGTAAGAACTACAGCTGGAACTAGGCGAAATAATGGCTAAAAACATAGCAAAAACAGCAACAAGACAACTCGGAGGGCGACATCAATCACGTGACCACCCTACACCGACCACCCGACCTTCCGTCCGTCCGCACAGGCATACCGATGTTTAATCTCGCACTTTCTAGCTAGTTTGGCAGCCTGCAACCTGATATTGTACATCCATGTTTTGATTAATTGACAGCTGTCAAAATAGTGTTTCTGCTGAACAGTATCGCCTGACCGTATCGCTGGCTCAGGTAACGACCCACCGAGTTCGAGTGTATTTTTGAAGTTATCCGCTGACAAGTTGCTACTTTTCAAATGATCGCAGGCTCAAGTTCAATTTTTTTAAAATGCATATGAAATAAGTCGTGTTCATGAGCCGCACTTTTAAAATTTTGATTTCGAACTGACCTCTGACGCGAAAATTCAACTGGCTTTTACATGCAGGGAAGGCAATCGCTTTTGACTTTTCTCACTGTCACGCGTTGATCACCTCTACGTCCAATTATTATGTTCTGACTGGTCAAATTTGTCAGGTGAGTTCATAAGGAAAATTTATGCAGCGTCTGGAAACTTGCTTACTGATAGCTGAAGCTGACAGAGTTTTGTGTCATCTTGTGATGTTTTAAACTGTCTTTTTCTACTGGATGTACAAAATGAAATACAGCTGCTATCAAGATTGTTCTGTAATTGATGGCTGGTTTGTTTATTGCACTTTTTGTTGACAAATGCACCGCCTGTCAAAGTCATTGGAAATCCGATTTCGGATGTTATCGTTTTCAAAAATGAGCTTACTCACTTGCCCTTGCTTGAGGCGTAAGAGGGTTGAAAAGTCTCAAGCGATTCAGGAACACTTGATGACCTTCAGAAGCAGCATCTCGACTGCTAAGCCTGAGCAATTATTGTCTTTGATGTTTTTTGTTTTGTTTTTTCGGTTTCCTGAAGTCGAGGGTATGGTTTATGCGGCTTAAGTTTGTACACGAGCAATGCTCTAACCTACAATAGTATCAGGTTTAAAAAGCCTTTAGACATTTTTTGACCGCAAATTCAAAGAAAAGGTTCCGAAGAATATTTAGTTATGATTTTGGCTGTAAACAGAGAGCTCTAAGCCATTTTCTTGCCTCGAGTTCATCTTGAAAACACCGGGAAGCCGGCTTAAAACATAAATAAGCTTATGCTTACCTGACTCATGATTTTCAGAAACACTTTACTCTCAATACTTGTCTTTGTGAACGAAAATTATTGTCTCTGTACATGTTTCACCGAATTATATTTATTTTATTGATTGTTAGTAGTCCCTCTCGCAATTTTTATCGCTGCACCGGTTGTTTCCAGTGGAACATAAACATCGCATGCAGGAATACTCCAAACGCCGCGCGTAAATATCACTCGCTTTTAAAGATTACACATAACAAAACCATAAACAGTTTTATAAATAAAGGGAAATAAATCCTGAACATAACAAATTCTCTATCACGCTGAAGCGTAAATGGTAACACTATTAATCGCACTGCAAATTCGGTGCCTGTCAAAAGTGAGAACCCCGCCGGCTG